GGGATGTACGGGGTGATTCTCAGGTGAGGCACRAGCATATTCCCCAGGGCTGAGGTCATCTCTGGACTGAGGTGGCCCTGGTAGACTGAGGCCACCCTGAGTCAAGTCAGGGCTGAGGCACCTCTCCAGATCTCCCCACAGTGCCAGCCAGGACATGGACAGGGAGCTGGAGCCAGACCCGGAGCTGAACCTGGAGCCAGATGCAGAGCTGGACCCGGAGCTGCAGACAGACCTGGAGCTGGACCCGGAGCTGAAGGCAGACCTGGAGCTGGACCCGGAGCTGCAGACAGACCTGGAGCTGGACCCAGAACTGAAGGCAGACGTGGGCCCAGCACTGGAGCTGGAGCAGCACCACGGGCACTGATTAAAGGCGTTGGGCAGAGCCGGTGCTGTGGCTGGTGCCCCATGGTTTTATGCTTACACAGTTTGTGCCTTTTGTCAGAGGAGCAGGAAGAGTGCAGGGTGGGTGTGGGGTCCCAGCCTTGTTCAGTCCCTTTCAGCCCCATTTCATCCATCTCCAGCCAGAGGGCAGCAGGAGCCTCTCAGCACAGATCAGCCCCGGGCAAGGAGGTTGGCTCCTGCGTGTCACCATTAGGCCAGCAGCCCATGGCACACTAGTTTGGCATTGCCAGGATCCTGGAGAACCCCACCTGCAGGGACAGTGTCCCTGAGCTGCCACCCCAGGCCCCCTCGATGCAGCATCCCATGGGAGCCTGGCAGCCCCTCGGGGTGGTCCAGGGGGGAAGCTGATGACAACCCTTACCCAGGGTGAGGGAGGTCCCCCAAACCTTCTCCATGGGAACAGAGATCAGTGTTTGCTCCATGACAAACACCCCTTACCCAGGGTGAGGGAGGTCCCCCAAGCCTTCTCCATGGGAACAGAGATCAGTGTTTGCTCCATGACAAAGCCTTATCTGCAACCTTTACCCGTGTTTGCTCAGACCCTCCAGCCATTGGGTGGCCGGGCCTGGCTCCCCCCAAGACAAGGTACATTCCTGCTGCAGGACAGGCGGCGCTGGCTCAGCACATCCTGCCAGGGCAGCCAGGCCACAGCACACCCCGAGCCCACGGCCAGCGCCCGGCGATGGAGGCTGGTGATGGCACCGAGGAGCCCTCGCTGCCCCTGGCACTGACCAGGTTCCAGGTCTCCGAGGAGTTTGGCTTCCTGCTTCCCGACCCGCTGGTAGGAGCTGGCTGTGCCCCCCATCTGCATGCTACAGAGAGGAAAAGAGAGGGGTTGTGAGCAGCTTTCTGGAGGGGGAGGTTGATTCGGCTTACAAAGAGCAGTGAGGAAGGCAGGGGCTGTTTTGGCACAGGCAGTTTCATAGGACAAACCCCTCACTCTCAAATGATGAAGTGGCTGCAGCAAGTGGCAGGGGGGAGAGGAGAATGAGCTTTGCCATTTACACGCTGCCTTGGCTCTGTGGGATTTTGGGGAGCATGAGAAGAGCAGTCACTCTGCAGGAGGCTGGGTGGGCGCTGGGAGCCTGGGCACATTCACAGCCCCCCCTCTGCCTCTCTCCACCAAGACAGAACTGCCAGAGCCCTACAGCCCCTGGATGGAGGTGGCCCACGAGCTGCCCCAGCTGATCGCCAGCCACCGGCTCCGCTCCCGCGTTCACCAGGTACCGTGTTCTCCTCCCTGCCTCTGGAGCTCTCTCAAACCTCGGTCTGACACGGCAGCATCTGCAAAACGCGGGGGAAAGCAACTCAGCAGCACGGCCGTGTCCTGAGCCAGGGCTGACACCAGGCGACAGCAAAGCCTTCACATCGGCACAGAAGCAGAGCCGGGAGGCAGCAGCCAGTGAGGGCTGGAGCAGGGCGAGCAGGGGCCCTCTAGATGTCACAAGAGCTGTGTCTCATCTCAGCCATGCTGCCCGCCAAGGACCCCTCTGGCACACAGGGATCAGCTGCTCCCACAGGCATCCCAGCACCAGGAAGAGGGGCACCTTTTTGAGGAAAATCCCATGGATTACTGTCCCTGCTCACAAACCAGCAGAAGTGGAACAGGAGCAAATCCTGCAGGGTGGGTGGGAAGGGAGGCTTGAAGGTAGAGAGAGGCACTTAGGAGGGTTCACCCCGGTTGGCAGGACAGACCCCACCGCGGGGGCCCTTGGCACTGCCGGCTTTGCCCTTTGCTCCCAAGGATTTCCCTGGCAGATGCCGCAGCTGAGCGCCCGGCACCTCCGAGGACGTGAGGAGCTGCACTTGGCACACCTGGTGCTCAGCTTCATCACCATGGGCTACGTCTGGCAGGAGGGCGAGGAGGGCACCGTGCAGGTAATGGCAACGCAGAGCAGGTTCACCTGCTCCTTGGGGTCTGGGGACTGTTGCTGCTCCCATGGAACTCATCCCACGGGAGCAAAGCCCCTTTCCTGCAGCTGCAGCAGGAGCGTGACCCCTCCTGCCCGGCTGGTGCCCACACTCGGGCACTGTTCAGCAGCCTGGCAGCGTCCCCATCTTCCCCCGTGCTTTGTGCCGTCCAGGTCCTGCCCCGAAACCTCGCCGTCCCCTACTGGGAGGTCTCCGAGGCCCTGGGCCTCCCGCCCATCCTCAGCCACGCAGACTTTGTGTTGGCCAACTGGAGGAGGAAGGACCCCAACGGGTAAACGGGCAAACGCCGGCGGACGAAGCGCGGCTCCTCCCGCGCTCGGGCAGCAGCAACGAGCAGGTGCTGGGGACAGACGGTTCCCAAACTGCTCCTGTTCTGCCAAACCCCCCTGAGCCCCCCACCATCGCTGGGGTGGCTCCTCACGGGCGGACACAGGAACCCTGTGGGGACGTGGGTGCCTGTGGGAGCAGCCCCTGGGGACAACTCCTCCATTCCCTGCAGAGCACAGCCCGTCACCAGAACAATTTATAATGCTCCTCTCTCTCTCTCCTGCATTTTCTCGTGCATTTGTTGGCCACAACTGAAACGCCTTCAGGCCTCTGGAAATCGAGTAAGTAGTTAAGATGCTCATTTATTTTCTCACGGTGTTGGTTTTGTTTGGATGGGCTCAGCTCTCCAGCACTGCGGGGTTCTGCTTAGGCTGAGCCTCTCTCGATGTGCACACACAGCAACACCAGGGTTTGTCTCACAAATGCCACTGAGATGACAGTGAAGTGACTGCAGTGGAGCATGGGCTGCTCTGTCCATGCAGGTTCAGCACCCATGGGCCATGGGAAGGGCATGGGGAGGGTGGTGGGTGCCTCCAAACCAGACCAGGCCAGCTCCCCCTTTGCTCTGTGCCAGCTCCTCTCTGCCTGGGGTGCAGATAAGAGGCTCTGCAGCCTGGGAGCGTTTTGTTCCAAGAGCTCAGCAGGTCCCGTGGTGTGCAGGGAAATCCTGAGCCACAACCCCACCAATCTCTCTCCTTGGCTGCTCTGTACAGGAACCTGGACCCCATCATCACCCTGCCCGGGGGAGAGAGCCTGCGGGGCTTCGTCCTCGTCACCCTCCTGGTTGAGAAGGCAGCTGTGCCTGGCATCAAGGTGGGTACCACCCTGTCCCGGGGCTTTTTGCTCACCTGGAAAGTGCCCACAGGCGCACCCACGAGGTGACCTTGTCCCCTGCATGAGCAGAGCTGGCATGGGTGGCAGTGAGTGTCCAGAGCCGCTGTACACAGGCATCCCACCCCCTGTCACTTGGTGTTCTCCCTTCTCTCACAGGCAATCGTCAGGGCCCTTCATGCCATCCTGCAGCACGATGAGGAGACCCTGCAGAGAGCCCTGGAGGAGCTGGCAGGGGCCATCGAGGCCATGAGGGAGGCACTGAGGCGGATGCACGGTGAGAGCAGCCCCAGCCAGGCTGTGTCTGCACAGCCCTGCACACACCACAGCTCATCACACGTGTTGGTGTGACTGCCAGCCAGCTCTGACCTCACTGATTTCCTCCTAGACCACGTGGATCCCACAGTGTTCTACACTGTGATCCGCATCTTTCTCTCTGGGTAAGTGCAGCGGGTTCCCCTTCAGACCCACCATGCTGGCAGCTCCCAGGGCCGGGGGGAACTGGGAATGTGCCAGGAAGGGGCAGCCCAGGTGGGACAGGGGGTCCCCCAGGGCGAGGTGGGGACCAGCCCTGTGCCTGGCAGTGATGCTCCTCAGGGTGTCATGATCCTGTCCCTTGGGAGTTCCCAGGCACTGGATCTGCTGGGCACAGACTGTGGCTGAGGGCTGGATCTGCCCCCCTCCACCCACTCTCCATCCCACACTTCAGCTCAGCCCCGAGAAGGTCTCTGTGCCCCAACAGCCAGAATTGTGCACAAATGAATCATTCCTGCTCTTGGCCGAACAGTTTTGACAGCAGAAGAGGAATTTCTCTTCACTTCCACGCTGTGCACACAAGGCTGCGAAGCTGAGCGGAGGCTCTTCCCACTGCACGTTAAGGAAACATCCCTAACAAGCCTCTTGCTGCTGCTCTGTTACAATTCTGTCAATTGGAAAAAAGAAAATCTCCCCCAGATACTGAAAAAGCCATTTGGGCAAGGCAGAATCCCAGCCCTGAGAGCCCAGCGTGGCATGTTCACCATCCCTCAGCATCCCTGCGGGGCTGCAGCTTCCACCGCCGCTCCCTCCCGGGCTGCTCAGGGGGGTTCTATTTTTATTTCTCTCCAGCATGTCTCAGCATTCCCAAGTCAAAAGGCTCCGTGCATCCTGATTAGGTTCCTCTTATTTTTTTTTTATCCAAGCTGACCTTGTCTTGATGGTCATCAGCCTGGAAAAACATGCCTTTAAAATTCCCTTCTGCTTATAAGAACTTCCCACTAGTAGAAGTTACTATAAATACAACCCTGGGAGAACTAAAAATATTCTGGTATTTGATAATGAATCTATTTTCTGTGCAGTTTGTGCAAATTGTGTCCCCACAGCCCAACAGCCCGAGCAGTCTCCCAGGACGGTGCATTCTGCAGGAGGTCAACAGATATTTTTGTGCCAGGCACTTTGTTTCCCTGAAATCGTAACTCTTCTCTTTGTTTGGGAGCGAGCACTTCTCCATTCCTGCACAGTGGGGGCTGACAGGCTCTGAGTTCAGGGCGTGTGGGGGGAGCTCCTGGCTTCAGAGGGAGGAAATCCCATCCCGGCCTTGTTATCTGTGGAGATAAATAGAGGCAGCCTGACCCAGTCTCTACTTATCCTTTAAATGCTTTTAGAGACATAACCTTGAGTAACAGGAACAAAGGAAAATCCAAAGTACAAACTTCAGGGACTCAGAGAAGCATTTGGGTGACTCTACCTGCTGCTTATCCGAATGGCCACTGGCATTCAAGGAATTGTTGTTGTGCCACTACTGCCCAGACAAGTGCCCCCTCCCTCCCCAGGGCAGCTCTGCTCACATAAACCTTCCCGAGCTGGAGCAGAAGGTGCAGCCAGGCAGGGCAGGGTGTCCCAGCACCACGCCACAGGGTGCTCACCAGGGCATGGGGACCCCAGAGAACAATCCCTAGCTCCTGGCAGAGGAAAATTAAGGATTCCTCCCTCCCTACGCCCACGGCCTCGTGGTGCACCTTGGCACAGCATTTGATTTCCGAGTTTATCTCCCATGTGAGGAGGGCTGGCACCGCTGAGTGAGGAGGGGCCGGGCCAGGAAGGTTTTGTTCCATCTTGCCAGCCCAGAGCCCCCTCTCACAGTGCCTGTCCCCAGCTGCCCCCCGGGCACTGCCTGACCCCGTGTCTCCCGCCCAGCTGGAAGGACAATCCCACCATGCCGGCCGGGCTGGTCTATGAGGGGGTGTCCGAGGAGCCCCTGGCGTTCTCGGGGGGCAGCGCGGCTCAGAGCACGGTCCTGCACGCCTTCGACGAGCTGCTGGGGATCCGCCACGGCCAGGACACCGGTGAGCCACACACCCTTCCTTCTCCCAGGCAAATAAGGGCAGGGGGAGAGACGAGCCAGAGCGATTCCTGCGGCTGTGCCAGCTCTGCCAGCCAGCAGCACACGTGCCCATCTCTGGGCTCTGCCCAGTTCCTTAGGTTATAAACGAGGCTCTGGTGGGTGCTTCCTCACCGTGATAAATTCCCAGAAGGACACACTTTGCTTTTTGCCTGTCAACCTTTTACTGAGTTTCTCTATGGGCCCAGAGATGAGGGAGCAGAGCGTGCCTGCATCCTGCCAGTGATTTACCCCATCCATTCAGAGAGTTCTGTGTTGGTCCAGCCCACAACAGAAATATTTACCAGAAATTGGCAAAACCACTCTACTAGCAAAAAAAAACCAAAACAAAATAAACCAAACCAAAGGGCTGAGAGCAGGGCTAAAACCTGTCTTTTAGAGTTAAGACCAAACCTAATGGAGCACTGACCTAATATGGGTTTTCTTTCTCACTGAATTGGAGGCAGAGCAGAGGAAGCTGTGCAGGCTCTCAGCACCACCACCAACCACCGTGGTCAAACCGTGCCAGCAGCAGAGCTCCAGCCTGGCTTCTCTCTGGGGCCTTTAATCCACATACCTACAACTTATTCCACCCTTTGCCGGTGTCTTGCAGCCGCCTTCCTGCACAGGATGAGGAACTACATGCCCCCGCCCCACCGAGCCTTCGTGGAGGAGATCCAGCGTGGCCCGTCCCTGAAGCAGCACGTGCTCTCCTGCAGGGACAGGCGGCTCCGCGGGGCCTTCAACC